ATCAAACAGTGTATACATACTTTTGAGACACCCTGTATAACATCAAATGCATTATTATATGTATGTTTTATATCAAACCTATAAACAAAATCGCTAAAATTTGGAAGAGGACGGCATACAAGGATCAGCATTCATCGTAGAAAAAATCGATTTATTGGCTGCATCATTTTGCTTCTTGACTTTTTTTGCGCGCTTGTCATTATCTTAGAACTAGCTACCAATTTCTTTGACTGAATGGAGCGGATTATAGGGAAATCTAATGCTTTCCCTTGATCGTGATTTTCACAAGCTTAGGTAATGATTATGTCCGCAATCAGTCAACTCCGGAAAAATGGGTTAGAGGATAGTGCCATAAATTCAGCACGAGTTCGCTAAGATTTATGTATTCCTGAAAGAAAAAAGTGATTTTGTTATAGAAGATGAAGTTCTTCAAAATTTGGAATTATCACAACCCACACCATTACCGCTTTTCTGAACAATCTATCTTCTTGTAGAACTTTTTGCGATCGATTTAGGAGAAAAAAGGCTCTTTTTTAGTTTTGGCACTTTGTTTTAGTTTGAAGATTGGTAACATACCCTTATCATCGATGCTGTCGACGTCTGGTAGTGGAATAATTCTTGATGCAAGTGCCTTTTGTCGTTCTTGTGCTTTCAACAATTGTTGTTGTTTCAAATCTTCGGCGGCTTTCATCATAAGAAGTTTCTGTAGAACATTTCTTTCGCATACCTATCTACTGTGTGGAAGCTTTTGTGAAACTTACCCTAAGCTTCTTCTTTCTTTCAGGTGTTAAGAAACCCTTCTTAGCCTTCTTTTTTTGTCCAGCTTCTTCCAGCCGCTTTCGCACTTCAGCCTTCTTACGCTCACGCTCTTCGGCTTTGCGTGCGGCATCCTGAACCAAATAAGTCAATTTTGTTTAACTTTCACTCAAATATACTATCGATATTGTGGTTAGAATACGCACATCTTTCTCCTCATCTGCTTGTGGACCGCCGTAGCGGAGGGTCTCGTCGAAGTCTGACATCCTAAAATGAACTGAATATTTGTGGAAAAGTTGAGGTGCAATGGCTTAGAGTTAACGAAACAAAAGCAATGGGAGACGGAAAGGTAGGTGGCTGCTTGCAAGCAAAACTGAACAGCTGTTCAGAAAATTATGCGCTTGTTGCTACGTGCAGTAGCGAAAACCGCTAAGCAAAACTGAAGCGCAGAGGTAATAAAAAAAGAGGTAATTAATGAAATCAGATGAGCCTGGATTCGACATATTTCTCAATTTTTGGCCAGATTGCTACAGCCAGCCCATCCGTCCTTCTGATTTTATCACTTTTTTAGAGCAAGAAGACGTTCAAAAAATCGCTTTGAGATCACAGCAGAAACTCCGTTTCCAAAAAATAGAATTGCATAGTATCCATAGATAATTTCTGGGAAAGCGTTGACCCGTATTTCTATGAGTCACAACAGTTTTAGCTTCAAATGCCGTAAATACCTTACTTTTCTAAAAAAAGTACAACATAGAGATTATAAATAGATTTGCTTCCGATTGTGAAAGAATAACATGTGTTTAGCTATTTTCAATTTTGCGTAAAATCCGTCTCACTCTTTACGTCATCGCTGTGAAGAAATGCCAGTATGTGGGAGAGCTTCGAGAACAGCTGTCTTAACAGTGGCTAGCAAAGTGTCAAAAATCTTATTGTTAACGTTTGCGTGGGTTGCGAAAGATTGAAACAGGTCAAGCAAGCTAAATTTGCAATTTTTAAATTAGATCTTGTAGCGGTATGGACCTTGAATATTGAGCTATTAAAAATTTTTTTTATTCTTGCTGATATTTTGATGCAGCTAACCTCGCGCTTTCAGCACTTCTTATCAAGAAATCTCTCATTTAGAGCTTCTTTTAGCACTGGAATGCCTTGCATAAAACAGGAAAAAATCCAGAAAAACTATCGAAGGACACCTGTTTCTAAGAGATGCGTATGTACGGAAACATATGCTCACTCCCACTAGTTCGGGATTTGAAGGAAAAGATATAAGACTTGAGAGAACAGAAGTCAGAGCTTAGTAAAGAGTCAATTTTTGGGCGCGGTATCAATTTTGAGATATTCAATGAAAGTCATACGATGGAGTGCTGATTATTATTTCTCAATCAAAAGAAGTGCGAAAAACCGCAATTTGGCGCTGAGAAAACAAAAATTTTGTGTAAAAAAAAGTTTTTGAGCAAATGTAATCTCATATATTTGACTGTGTTGTAAAGTGCCAAGGCAGGTTAGATCAACCATTTGGTAAAAAGGTATGTTTGTTATTTTGAACTTGATAATCGAGTATTCGCACTACGAGTTTCCAGCTTTTACTTATTTATATTTCAGCAGTGCCAAGAGTAATTCATCGTAAAATGTCAAAGGTTTTCGACAGCACTTATTGGTGCAAACGAAGGGGCTGAACGACCGATGAGGGCCTAGATTTTTGTAAGAGAGAGAGAAATTTTGAGAATATGTGCAGAATTTTGAAATACAAACAATAGCCTAGCATTGGAATAATTAGTTTCAATGAGCTAGGTCTCTATATTGTTGTATGCAGCAGTGGGAGGTTATGAGAGCGCTAG